ATATTTCATACACGATCAAGTCTAGCTAGCTTGACTTTTGCAATCAGCGTTACCTTTTCCGGTAGCGTTCCTCAGTTCGTATGGAACAGCATGTATTGTAGAAGCCTACATAAATTAGAAATGGTTGGGGGTATATCATACCCTAGTTGTACAAAGATGGTAATGGAAAAATGTTGCCAATGGCTCATGCTTCTACAGTAACCTGCTGGCATGCAGCAGGGTTCAGGCTTAAGCGTTTGGGGCTTGCTCCCATGCGCAACATCTTCGGATCTCCCTCTTAGTAGGGAATGGGGATCGATCCCTTGCAAAGCAATCCTCACGTTCCACTCCCCCCTTCCCTACGAAGCACATGGGAGAGATACCCAGACCCCCTAAAGGATCCAAAAAATGGAACCCCCTAATAAGAACCCTAGTTTCCCCAATGTAGTAATGGGTTCATATTGGGTTGGTTCCATTTTTTGGATCCTTTAGGGGGTCTGGGTACATAGGCATCAACGCTCGATTCTTCTTCGTGGCTGTCCGCAAATCAGCGGTTTAGGGTTGCGGTTTAGGGGTTTAGGGTTTAGGGTTTAGGGTTTAGGGTACCCTAGAGCTTCCAGGTACAAAGATAGCAGTTTCCACCAATACGGCTTCCCCTGAAACACTCCCCATATACCATGTTGCTAAGGTGGGGATTTCCAAAATGGTACTCTGATCTTGGGGAAAACGAGAAACAAGAACAAATACAGGGCAAAAGGAGATGCATATGGGGATGCAGAGTTGTTTCTTTACGGTCAGGACTATGGCCCTTAATTTCGGGCCCTGATATACCCAGAACATGTCTTAAGGGTCCATTTCTGCCCTCTAAGTGGAAGATGCCTACTTAGGTCACCTCAGGGTGCAACTCCATGTAGCTTCGAAGCAGACGCCTTTCCATTACTTCTGCTCAATTTACCACATGAGCCATAGCTGAGGGTTTAGGGTAGGATACTTCCCTACATAAAAAGACTATGTAACCCCCTGTTTCAAGGAGTTTAGACTATGGCTCTCATAACTTTGTTTGGGACACCCAAGTCTGCAGGGTCATCTGAAATCCAGCTCGATGTCGTCATCATCCTCGGCAAGGTTTGGGGGCTGCATGCGTTTTTGGGTTTAGTCTTAGGGCCCTAGGGATGTATGGGGATCATAAAGGGATGACAGGAGATCCATCAAGGATTATATAAGGACTATTTTGAAAAGTCCAGTTTCTGCGCATGTCCTGGACCACCCGTGTTTATTGCCTGCTTCATGTTGCATCTCCAACCAGATATAAAACCGACGCCTGAGTTCCCATAGCCCTGTCCTCCGGGGAAATGTCCAACTCATCGATTCGCAGGTCAGTTGTGGTGGCCTGCAACCTAAACCCTAAACCCTAAACCCAGGTCAAGATGGCACCCCACGTGACATCCCTAGACTCTATATTCCATGTCATGTTCCACGTTCCCCATTTGATTCTGCAGTGGGTATCAATGTGCAACCCATTACTACGACTCTAAACCCGTACAACCCTAAACCCCTAAACTCTTAAAACCTAAAACCTAGACCGTTTACGAGGACCCCTTGTTCAGGTTCCATGGTAGTCTTGGCGAGGTTGTAATCCTCCCGATGTCCGAGCTCACTAGGTTGCAGAGTTTAGGATTTGGGATTTAAGGTTTAGAGTTGTGGATTTGGGGTTTAGGTGCTGGGTTGGATTTTGTAGTGTTTAGGGTTAAACAGCACTTTGTCTGCCTGGGGATACTTCTGTATCACTTCCAGGAAATCCTGGCAACCTTAAAGCCTTTTAACCTTCTGCCGTGGACCTCAAAGTCTCTAGAGTCCGGATCCCGGAACCCTAAATCCTCGTCCTCTCTTGGGTTTAGGGTTTAGGGTTGTAGGGTTTAGGGTTTAGGGTTTCTACCCCCAAGCCACATAATCCTCAAGAAGTTCACAAGGGACTCCAATAGTCAGATTAATAATGATCCTTGTAATCCCTTACAATGCCCCTATTTCTCTGGCGCCCCCAGAGTAACCTGCTCTGTTGAAGACACTCCACGAGTACCAACACCTTATGATAGGGCGCCTGAAACTTAGGGTCTAACAACTAACCATCCTGTTAAAGCCTAGCTTGTCTGTACTATTCGCCACACTACAGTGGATCAAGCCCAACCACCTAAGGACCCCTGTATGATACAGGAATATAACCCAAATCCAAGTGGCATTTGGGATGTATTATGGTATACTCTCAAATGAAGAGGCATAGAGCTCTCTGCGAACAAAAAAATATCAAACACAACTACCCAGTGGCCCTAATGAGAAGTTTGGTAACCCAACAGCTACACCAAGGACCCACAATACAAGTCATGTGACAATCATTATCAAAGGATCCGTGTCTGGGGGTTGGAGTATCCAAAATCCACCTATCCCGCACATGTCAGCCCAGTATAACCCCAGTTCCAGTTCGTTCAACATTGTCCTTTCTAGCTTTTCCTTTCTTGAGGTTACATACCCCACAACCCTAAACTATCCCTACAGAACCCCTACATAACCCCTAAAAGCCCTAGATCTTTAAGCCCAGAACTCTAAACCCTGAACCCTAAGCCCTAAGCCCCGCACCCGACACCCTAATCCTTGAACCCTAAACCCTAATCCCTGAACCCTAAACCCTGAACCCTAAGCCCTAAACCCTAAATCCTAAACCCTAAACCCTCAAAAATTCTTCCAGGCCTCAGAAGGCAGGCCCAGGGCGGCTTCGAGCTCTCCCAGGCGCAGATCCAGGTCCTGCGGGGGTTTGGGTTTAAGTTTGCTCTTTGTATTCTGACTATAGGGTTAAGGGTTTAAGGAATATAGGTACCAATATAGGGCTTAGGGTTTAGGGAAAATATAGGTATTACTATTACTATTACCATTACTATTACTATTATTATTACTAGTTCTATTACTATTACTATTACCATTACTAATACTATTCCTAGTACTAATACCATTGGGTTCCGGGCGGGAACATGCCCGCTGCGTTTTCACACAGCCTACTATTGCTATTAGAATATCTATTACTACCGTTACTGCTACTACTATCGTTACAAGATGTTTGGTTTTTGAGAGGTACTTTAGCATCCCGTCCAAACTTTTTGAAGAAGATGGGTTGTTCTCAAAATTCTGGGCCCTTTTCGGTTATAGATTATATGACGGGATCTGATATTTAGGGGTACCAAAATGGGACCCAAATTTTTGGAACTACCCAGATAGGGTGTGAGGGGTTCAGGGCTTTAAGGCTTTGGGGTGCGGGGTTTGGGATGCAAGATTTCGTTCAAGGGTTTGGGGTGTAGGGCTTAGGGTTTAGGGATTGCAGTTTGGAATTTACGGTTACGCTGAATAGTGGCTTCTTTGTTTGGGATTTCAAGGCTTCAGGCTTCTGGAGCCCCCCCCGGGCAAATGTGAACGGGGGCCAAAAGACTTTCTCTGGGATGTTATGGGCTTTGCATGGCTTCATGAGAATGAGATACGGCTTCAAAGGCAGGTTTGAGGCAGCTTATTTCACGGCTTCGTGCTCATCTTTTCAGGCGTATGATTAAGACTTGGCAAATTTTTACGGATTGCATGAGGCCACCCATTGTTAGCGACTTGCTCCACCACAGAAAATGCTAGCTCAAGCACACAACTATGACGGGCAGCGTGCACACTCCCTGCCCTGGCCCTCTGCCACTATACAGCCTTCAGCTTAGCAGGTGGCAATCCTGGGCTTTCTTCTCGGTCACGAGCCTAGGCCCACGGAGTTGTTGCTGCGTGCGATCCAAGAGACTCACCCGGTGGACATGCAGGCACCAACCAAACACTGAAACGCACCCCAAAGTAGATACCTCACTTGCGGGGTCCCCATTATAGCCCATAATATCCAGAATATACTATAATATACCAGAATATACCATAACATACCATTATTACTATAATATACCATAATTTTGGGAAGCTACCGAATCCCGAGCCTTCGCAAAGCAGACTCTGTGGCCTAGCTAGAAGTCCCCAGTAGGACATTCCCAGCCGAGTCCCCAGCTGTCCAACTGACATGCTGGCCTTGCCCATGGTTTAAGGGTTAAGATTCCCTAAAAGGGTTTAGGGTGTAGGGGTTAAGATTCACTGCCGTGAGGGTTGAGGATATGAGCCATAGTCTAAACTCCTAGTATCCCCCCTTAATATCCTGTATCATACTCCCCTATATAACCACTCCTTTAAGGAGTTTAGACTGTAGCTCATATCAGTACCAGAAGCTCAGGATTGTGAGTCTAGGGCCGCTTGAGCTTCAGGTTTTGATTTTACTAGAGTTTGGGGGCGTAAAAGGGGGCAAAGGGTATTAGTTCTTTTGAACCACGTTCAGACTTTGAAATTACGGGCTTCAGGGGTCGGGGGCTCCAACGGCAAAAGCCTCCAGAAAATTCGCTTGTTCTTGGAGCCCCTGTCACAAGAACAGATGTCCCGGGTTCAGGAAGGAAACCAGATACTACAAAAGGGGCTGTTATGCAAGGAGCCCTTCTTGCATGAAGTTGCTGTGGGTATGACCTTTTGGAGCGGGAGAATTGCACTCTTCTTAGACCCTAAAACCACCAGGATTGAAGGCACGGCCAGTTGAGTTCACAAACGGTCTATCTCCCCATGCATCACACTTGACGGCTAATTTAGTGGGGCTTCTCCAACTGGAATAGGAACCTCTCGGTGCGGAGATGACTCGGGAATTCTGTGGGTACCTTGTTCGAGAAGCTCCCACACGCCTGTGTGTTAACACATGGATGTTGTCCCGGGAGTAGGCCCCTTTTCCGAAACGCAAGCTGCAGCTAGCTAGCTCTCACCACCGCAACACTGCACAAATATTTGCGGGGTTCTGGGAACAAATGCAGCACCTTCTGAGAGCCACCTGCTCGGGTTAAGAAGTCACCACAAGCATCACCAGGCAAACCAGGGTTTCGCAGAGTTCTCCGAAAACTAGCATCCAAAGTGGCTAACAGCTTGCCTCACAAAGACGTTGCCTTCCGGTTGATGGCCTTCAGGAGAAACCCCTCCCCCTTTAGCTCTCCCAGCTTGGATAGCATCTCCTTCAGCACATTGATGGTTCCCTCATTCCGCTCCTTGCCCGCTTGTTCCGACCGCCACTTCCAGTGCAGCACATGGTGCAGGAAGTGGAGGTCCGCCTCCTCAAGCTCACGCATCTTAGTGGCCATCTGCACATTCTCAGCTGCACGCTGCCCCAGCTCCAAAACACAGGATTGCTTGCCATGGGTGATATGGTCCATGTCGACTTGAAGGTCTGACACCTTGCTTTCGAGTTTGGTCTCGCGGACCGCGCAGGATTCATGATCATGTTCGAGTTTGCTGAGTTCCTGATTCGAAGCCTTGAAGCTGGATAGCAGGGCAGAGTTGAACAACGGGCAAAGCGCCCACAATATCAGCAACACGAGAATCGGAGCCCACCTGACAAGTGTGCGAATCCATTCCAGGCACGGCTCTTTCTGCTTCAGGAGCTGGTCAATGTGACTGCCACGAAGGTCCGTCTGGGTCTGCGTAGATCCATCCACTTGCTTATCCCCATCCTAAATCAGACAAGGCTTGTTGTCAAGTGGCTGCAACAAGATGAAAGGTCCCTTGCTAGGTGCAGGTTTCAACAGGCTCGCGCTGGGCACATGCCAAAAAATGATCCCTTCGAAGTTCATACAGTGAGAATGTCTGGCTTGGAGAGTGTACAAAAAAAGCACACATCTTTATTTACCTCTGACTAGGGTTCAGAATCTTCCAACGCCGCGGCCACTGCCGGCTTGCTCTCGGCGTGGCCAGTGCACTTATCCGCAGCCGTGCGCAACACTGGCAGGGGGATTCCAGCTGGCACAGCCTGAGAAAGGGACAAAGACTTGCCACACCAGAAGCGCGAGGGCCCTTCTGCAAAGGCATCTTCAAAGTGAACTGCCCACCATATCAGGTTTTGAAGCTGGTCTGAGAGGCTTAGGGCTGCCTTATGGAAAGCTGAAAGCTACTGTATGTGCTTACTCTGTCAAGGGGACCTGGGAGGTCGACGAACCACTCAGTCCAGCGCTGGCATCAGATGCAGTGCCAAGTGGAATCCAGAATGGATAGTCATCAATGGGCCAAGCTTGTGGCGCAAACTGAGGTTCTGCCTCCACTGCCTGCCCAAAGAGGAGGGGTAAACCAAAGACGCTAAGAAGCCAAGGCATCAAGATATCCCATACATCTCCCAATATACTATTGTCCTCACTACAATGCAAAATACCTCAAGTCAAAACTACGCTTCATGCCGCTTCTGGCACCGGAAAGTTGTCCTTGCGCTCTGCAGCGAGCATCTGCCACTCCGACTCTGACGCCCTGTTTGGCAAGGCTGGCACAGCGTCAGCATCTTGCAGAGCCTTGTCAACGGGTAGATCCTCTGTAGGCTCTGGCTGCAGTGGCCGGGGATTCGTATCCTCTGCCTCCCCCATGTCTGCAAGGTAAAGTGATCTGAAATCTGGGGGCGACGGGAGCTGTGATGCAGCAGCCAACAATCAAGATCCGAAGATGCTTTGAGAACTGCACGACGAGCAGATAGACACCAGTACTCTTTCATGACTTAACTCTGTAGCTTTGACTCCGAACGTCGACCTCAACAAAAACCACCCCAAACTCGTCTATGCCTGCCTGCAGTCTGATCTTGCCTCGACTTCCCTTACAAATCCCCCCCCCAAAAAAAAAGTTCCAGGCCTGCACCTTCATGACCCTCTCCCTGGGAGAGAGGGGCTGCCAAAGGACCTCCTGTGAGTTGGACCGCACCTGCCAGTCAGCGCCAGGGATCTCCACAGGATCTTTAGGGACTTTAGGAGGGACCCCTAATAGGGACCCTTAATCCCATTACCATGTATAACCCATATATAGTCATGGTATAACCCCTATATCCCTAGATAGT